GGGTTCCGGGCCAATGCGTTTCATGCACAGGGACCCCGCCGCAAACCTCCGCTGGTCAGCTCGGCGTGGGGTCCCTGCCCCGTGATTCCGCTGGCTCAGATTGACGCGATCGGCCTTCTGCGTTGCCCGCGCCCATCCGGACCATCGAGACCCAACAGCTCGGGCCCGGGGCATTCGGATCAGGGGCTCTGGACTGACAAAACCTCCGCCCGAAAACAAAGCGGGCAGACCGAAAAGCCTTAGGGAGGCAGTAATTTTCCCCCGGCGGAAGGGGGCAATCCCCGCACGGGTACAAGAGGCCACCGTGCGGCTGCACCCCCCCATCGCCGACCAATGGATGTCCATGGAGCCGCCCGATTCAGCAAAGGGCATTGCTCCAGTTTCTCATCGCAGGGTCCTCCCCTGTCTGTCCCTGAATGAGTTGCGCTGGTCGCTTGCCAGTGGTTTTGTGCTACGTGGCGTTGGGGGCCCCCGCTACTCCTGGGGGTGGCGCGGAGCCCCGACGGCTCGCGCGACTTTGGATGTGCTTCCCCAGCTGCATTGCTTAGTTGGACAGGTTACGAGAGCGTATCGCTCCGGCTGTCGTTGAACCTGGACCATGTCGCCGTAGTCTGGGCTGCCGATATCGCCCCGGTAGACCCCTTGCTCATACAATTCCTTTCTGACCGGCCATGGCTCCCATGTACTGGAGTCCCATGCTGCAGAACTCTGGGCCTCACGGGGCACCAGCTTGTCGCAACTGAGTGGTGCATAATGGAGCCACAATGGGCTCATTATTGGTGACCCGAGCATTGTTGTGTTGGATGATTGGAATAATTTGCATTCCTTGGGCTGATTAGGTGAACTCAATCTAGGCTTGGAGGCAAATTGCATGTGACTTTGGTAAAATCAATTGCTTGACTCAGTGATGTAATAGTTTGGTAGGAATTCAAATCAGCAATTACAGTTAACTGCGTTTCCATACCATCGATAATGTTGGTTGACGTCCGTTGGTTACGAAATTACTGTTTTGGACATTGAGTTGTGTTTTAACGCCGATCTTGAAACGCAGGAAAAAGTGCCCAATTGTCCGTATCCTCATTTATTCCATATCGGTGTTTAGCAAGCAGCCATAGTCCCTTAGGCTGTGTAGTACGAGTGAATAAGATATTTTCGATCTAATTAGATTATAATTGATTTGGCAGCAATCGAGCAGACATGCATGTGTGATTCATATGAAGCGATCGTGTGGCTCAATTGGTTGAATCAATTACGCGATTCATATGTATCAATTATGCTTTAAAATTGCTATGAAATCAAGAGATTCTCACAATGCAACAGTTGTGTAGGGGTGACCACGGCCGGCGCAATCACTTCAATTTTAAAACGGATTGCAATCTATTCACGCTTGATTTGATAATGTCTCCCAGAAATTTTTGCATACTATCCATGTAAATGATGCTGAAAATGCCCCACAACCCTTGCGAATAGACCAAGAATGATTCGCTGCAATGCCAAGAATCGATCGCTCGTGGCTAGCAGGGATCCGCGCCTCTGGAGGCAGCTAGGATTGTCTAGAATTGCCCAAGATTTCCAAGGCTCTGATAGAAGTTATTCATGCTGAGCACAGCTTGTCCAGTGCCAGTACTTCTTGTGTTTTGTATCTTCCCTTTCACAGTCAGGTCTGTTTGCTTCGGAATGGGCATGACGTCAAATGGCGGCCTCAAAAAGGCGATCTGCGTTTTTTGAGTTTGCGAATTGTTGGAGCTCAAATTGCTTCCTTCGTTTAAAGAAGGAAGAAATTTCTTCCTTCTTTGCTTTGGTTATTTGGTCATTTCCTGCATTGCTGTTGAAGCCTTGAATTTATAGTCACAGGTGCTCACTGAAATTCTTGTTTTGTCAGTGCAGTTGCCTTTTTGAGAAGTGCGATTCATTGGTGTCGACAAAAGAGTTGGCGAGGCTGCAATCAATTTAGTTTCTGGTTGCCTGATGCTTGCATGCAAAACTGCCCACAGCAGCCCATCTGTGCTGCTCTAGCTTATTGTGAAGTTTGGCCATTTTAATTGTGTTTGATTCCTTGTTGTGAACAGTGGCATGTACAATCCTCTCCCCAGTGGCTCGTCGCACTGCTCCTCTCCCGATCTTTTGACAACGTAGCTCAGCTGTTGCCATTGTATTGGTGCCCCCCTTGTTGCGCAGCATGTGTGGAGGGACATGCAGTCCAGAATGGAATGATGGGTCAATCCTGCACAGCACAGAAATTGTGTTGGGGAATATACATTGACATAGAGCACTCCAAAACAGGCGAATCTTCTAAATCCTGGGTTCGTTTAACAAAGCTTCAAAGTCACTGAGGACAAGAGCAAGACTGTGATAGATGAAATAGTATTACTGCCTGCACCACATCGGTGATTGCTTGCACCAAATCACGTGCACACTATGCCCTAACCCCAGTTTTAGGGTTAGGTTTAATTTTAGTTGATTTTTAAGGCTAGTTTTTGGGTTAGGGCAGGTCTAGATTTAGCTTTAGGGGTTAGGTTTTAGGTTAGGTAAGTTTTGGAGGGATTTGGTGCAAGCAATCACTGATTTAGTGCAGAAAGTCACCGATTTGGTGCAGCCAGTAGTTGTATGCCGTGATAGATCCTGCAACTACGGAATTCGAATTCTTTTGGCGGCAAAGCTAGGCTGGCAGCTTGGCAAGGCGGCAATCAGGCACTGGGTCCCAGAGGCAGGTTGGCTCGTGTCGTGTTGCCTTCACGTAATTGTGGGATCTGGCAGCCGTGGCTCTGGCCCCCCTTGTCTTTCATTGTTTCGATTACCGTCGTCCCGCTCACCCTGATTGCTTGCCCGCTATTCCCAAGGGCTCAGTAGCGGTGCGGTGCGTCTCTCTGTATGCATCGCCGTCCTGTCCCACAGCGGTGGGCGCTGCCGCGTGAGGCCGCCCACGTAGCGCAAGCACCGCCGATGCCTCCAAAAATGTTTGCACAAATTCTTCGCGGGAACAGCCCAGCTGGGATCCCTCGGGATCCCAGATCCAACGCAGGCCCCGCTGGAGACAAGAGCCCGATCCAATACGCTGAGAACATCGGCTCCGGGCGGGTCGTCGCCGGTGAGCCGCCAAAGCTCTTCGACCGGTGAGCCGCTCTTCGACCACGCCATCGACAACCGCGGATCGTCCGCGACTCGAGGAATGCTACTCACCATTGCCCTGGGCAAAGGCATATGGCACGCGTCAGATCAATCAGCAATCTCCCACCTGACAAGCGTTGGCGCCGGGAATCACTAACGTAATGGTTACAGTCGCAGGGCCACCCTTTCGTATATCAGTGCGCCCCGCAGCCAGGTTTCCGGTGGGCGACGCGCCCGCGTGACGCGACAGACACTGAGCGTCACGGCGAAGTTCATCGCCCTTTGCAGCGAACGCCGGCTCCACGCCAGCTTGACCCAGCAACAAGTCTGTCTCCGCTTCGGATACATAAAGCCGGGGCTGCATAACCCTGGCCACAGCACACGGCGGTGTTGATTTGGAGGGCTTTTGCCGCGACTGGAAGCTCGAGCCAGCTTTGCGACCATGGGGTCTCGCGGTCTGTTGCTCCTGGCGCTGGCGTGCGTGGCCGTGGCGGCAAATGGGCTGGAGCTGGGCGACTCCGCGGCGGCTGAGGGTGCGGCCCGTGTCGTTTGATCATGGCGTCGACGTGCACGATGCTCTGGGGAGCGGGTCCAGGGCGCGGGCAGAGTTTTAGGGGCTCAGTTTTAGCGAAATCGTGCTGCACGAGCTGCGCGGAACGCGTCGCTGCCGTTGCGCGATGCGCCGACTGGGCGAGCCTTCCCGTGAGATGCGAATTGCATGAGGATAGCACCCACCATGTGCAGCAATGAACGCGCCATCGTGCCTGGTGACGCGAATGGCATGGTCCCTCCTCGGCCACCATTCCTTGCATCCGGCGGCGGGCTTGCGGCGATTCGATGCTCCGTTTCTGGGATGTCCCGCATACCAATGTTACGAGGAGTCCCGGCTCGGCATGACCGTCTGCCAATCGTGCGCGTCCGGTTCGCGTGGCAACGTCGCGTTTTGGCGGGGTACCGCGTTTGGCCCAGCAATTTCGATTACCGGGGCTGCATGTCCATGTGCGAATGCCGAGATGCCATGGCGGTCCGTGCCCCATTTGGTGGAATCGCCTCGGATTTGCAGGCTCGAGAGGGGCTGCGCGGCGGGCACTGAGCGTGGCCGTCTTTTCCATGCACGCGCCCATCCGCTGCCTCGGCGTCGTCGTCGCGACGATCTGTCACCGATGTCTGGGGTCCGTGCGACGAGGATCGACAAATCTGTTGGAATCATCTCCTCGTAATGGTGACTTCAGCGATTCGTACTCATCGCGTGAGTGGATGGCGCCCCTCATGTCAACCATGGTGGTGGTGGCGGGGTTTTGAGGGGGGAGAAACGCGTCTATGGAGCTTGTTAATGGTGCTTGTTAATTCATGGGCGGATTCTCAAAATAATGTGCTGTAGTAGATTGAGAGTGGAAAGATGGTGTACTAACTCTTGTGTTGCTTGCTTGGCACAGACCTTGCCTCTGCGTCCAGAAAGCTTCTCGGTTGCGGTGGGTTTCCAAATATTTTAAATATTAAATGTATTTTAATATTTGTGCCCTGTGAATTTGTAGAGCTACTGACAGGTCATTGTCCTTCTGAGGCGCAGTTTGCCGAAATGTCGGTATTTTGGTTGGCCCTTAGATGGCGGAATGGAAGAGCTTTTAAATTTTGCGTTATGACTGGAATTGAGATGCGCTGTTGTTCTGGAGCTGAAAGATTTCAATAGAGCAGTGCATTCCGTTGATGGCCACACTAAACCCCAGTTGTTTCGCTTGTCACAACGAGTATTATTTGTGGATGATCTCACGTCTCAATCGCTGCCTTTCAATTCACGAACTCTATACTCGCAGAGAAGCTTATCCAGGGCCGCGGAACAAAAACCCAATTTAAAACAGATTTGCAACAGAATTAAAACAATTTCTCCGCAGGCGGCTATGCAAAGAAGCCCCATTGCTGCAAGGTATGGGACTACGACTATTGCTACTGCAAAGAGTACAAACACGGCTGGTACTACTACGGCGGAAAGTGCAGCTACAGGGACGACGGCTACAAGTGCCCGCACTGCTGCGAGGAGTGCGACTACCACAAGAAGTACTGCAAGCGGTACAAGCACGACTACTACTACGAGCACGGGCGGTGCCAGAAGAAGGCCCCCAGCTACGGCGGCAGTCCCACTGCGACCGCGAGTGCGGATGCGACGTGCCGCGGGAGGGGCTGTGCGACCAAAACTCACACGTCGACGTCGACCACTCCCTATAGCTCCAGATCCAGCAGCTACTCCCAGTCTGGGAAGTAGGCGTCCTCGGGGCGTCGTGTGTGGGAAGTTTGGCGAAAAGCTGGCTGGGACGACTGCTTGATTTTGCTGCGGGTCGAAGGCACGAGTATTGACAGGTTGCCGTTTGGGGTTCATTGATCAATGTTCACTATTCAACGCTCAATGTCCACGGCTGAGAATAAGGAGGGCTCTGCTTGCTGATTGTGGTTGTTTGTGTAGCCCCTGTTTCGACATGGGATGAAGGAGGAGACCCAACAGTGGGATTTCCAAGGGAGATTCTGACTTTAGGGCGTTGCGTCGCATTCAACAGTCCAGGTGCCACCCTGGATTTTGGTGTTGAAATTGCGCTGGTGCATGACTTCGCAGTGACTAGGAATTCATAGCGGGGGGGACAAAGCTGGATACGAAAAGGGTTCTGCAGTGGGCCAGTTGCTCGAGCTTCGTCTGGGGGGAACACTTTTTTCTCCGTATTTTGTGGCATTGCGTAAATGTTCAATGCAGTGTAACTATGTTGGGGTGGCTTAAAAGTTGGGCCACCTGTGTACTCAACGTCGCGACAAACTTACGTTTACAAATCGGCCCTTATGCACTTGCCTGGGCATGTTTGGTAGACAAGTTTCATATGTTTAAATTGCACGTACGTACGCATACCGTGTAGTTTCGGCAACCGTGGTCCGAAAATAACACAGCTTGTACACACATTACGAGGATATGACACACTTTCTACACGGTCTCAACCGTGTCCCTCAAGTGTGTACCAAATGACACACTTTTCGACCGGTTTCACATGGTTTGTACACGTTTTGTGCACGGTTCGGCACCGTGTCATCCCCTCCTTTTTTTCTTAGTATATTGCTATGGGTAAACTGCACATAGGCAGCTCTCCACGTGGATGCCTACGACCCGCAGTACCGTTCTGTTTGGTCTTCTTGCCGCACGACCATTCGAGCCGGATCCGGAGATCGCATCTGCCTGTCCGCCACAAAAATCGGTACTCCGGCTGCCACGTCACGTTCCCCCACCCAGAGCGTTGGCCCCGAGATGAGACGCAATGTCACAACGTCAGTCTAATTGATGTTGCTCGTTTACCGCTTTCCTGTCCTCCCTCACGGAATGTTCCAGCTACCCATCAAGAACGTGGCTTCCTGCTGTCCACTCAGGTGGCGTCTCCACATTGGGCCGTCGGTGACATGATCCCATCGAGGACCCAATGCGTGTGGGAACCCTGGGCGCCTTGGTCCACCGCTGCGAACTCCTGCAGATCCCGGCAGTCACCGGTTGTCCGAACCTCAAGATCAGACGCGGTGCCCCTATACCAGCCTCATCAATGTTGATTGGTGGCCCAGTTGATGCACACCCCCTGTTCAAATGCTCAAGCAAGCAGTGACGCATCGAGAACTTCAGCTGCCCGCTGCCCACCTCCCTGCGCATTTCCACGGAAGCCGGTAGCGGCTGCGGCCATCACCACCTCTGGCTGTTTCATCATGCCAATCGCGGAAAGTGACCTTCAGAAGCTGTACAAAACTGCAGGGCAAATTGCGTGGCCTGTGACACGTGCTCTCCTTTTGTAAGCAGCTAATGGGCTGCTGCATTTGCACGAACGAAATTTGGTGCATTGCGATGTGAAAAGCTCGAATTTTTTGGTTTTCGGCAAGGAACTCTCTTCTTGCACAGTCAAAATTGCTGATTTTGGGTTCACAATCGGAAGTCGGGGCACCCGGAGCAAAACTGAGAGAAAGCAGCGTGGGGCGTTGAAATGGATGGTTCCCGAAGTCTACGATGATAAAGTGCTGACCAAGGCGTCAGATGTTTTTAGCTTCATGACCCAGCTTTATGTACGAATGCGTGACAAGGAAGCACCCCTACGGAGTTGCGGGACTGGACCGGGCACGTGTTGATGTTACTGTCATGGCCAAGAAGTTGTCTGATAAGGAACCTTGCATTGTAAAACCTGAAGATTGCCCAAGGGAGATGATGGCTCCCATGAGATGGTGCTATGATCGCGACTTCAAGAACAGACCAACGATGGAGCAAGTGTTTGACCATATGCACAACGTGGCAGACGATTTTTCTCCCCAGTTGATGCTTGAATGTCAGTTGCACTGTTAGCACTTGCCAGTAATGCATGTGTGGTTCGTGTAGTGAACAACAAAGAATGGGATTCATGCCTGCTAACCTGCACTGTACACAGTCCTCTTCAGATATTTTTGTGGAAACTTGCCTTGTGTGCGCAGCAGGCCATCAACAAGATTCTGAGATTCACCCACCTGTTATTTCAGCTTCTTGTTTATGTTCAAATAGGAAGCAGGACAGTCATACCTGAATGCTGTCAAGAACTTGTGGCAAAAATATGTCCCTGCTCCGGCCTTTCTCCGTGTGAATTATTGTTGATTAGTACTGTGTTCTTTTGTCGATGCGCGGGTAGCCATGTTAAATGAACATTGTGATAGCTGTCAGCATCAACAGTATGATATTCGGACTTTGACTTGAGGACATGACCGTGTTACATGTCACAGCTTCATCAGGCATGGCTGAAAGCCCATTAGATAATTAGATGTGGCACCAATTTGCATCACAGGCGCTTTCTGCTAGGGATTTTAAAGATAGGGAAGATGCCACAGGCACAGACACAACCAACAGGAGCCAATTGCCTCCTTTCATAAGCGGCAGACAGTTGTTTGCTCTCTGTTTGCGAGCTTTTGATCCATATTAACGTATCTTTTTCCATCAATAACCTCTACTTGAATCCTACAGCTAGCCAAGGAACAGAATACTATGCATCCTGTCAAATTTGCTAGTCCATCTGCTCCATCTGTCACTGGGCCGATCTCTGGAAGTGCTGGCTTATATGAGGCATATGGACGTTGCTGAACATATACTGATGCAGTGACCCATTCGGCAAAAGAGTGTGAGCTAGAATCTGGCCCCAAAAGCGCACCGCAGAACTTTTGGCACACAGCTGACTTGTTGCTCTAAACTGGTTGGATATCCTGGCCTGTGTGCAGGGTGATGCTGAACTGGCAATGGAAGGCCTCCGAAATGTACAATACAACAACAGGATGATGGGTTTTCTGAAATTTCAGCTTGAAAAGGCAAGCTGCGTGAAAAAGCCACAGTGCGCAGCTCCACAGCAGGTGGAGGAGTTCGACTGTCAACTGGACTGGGGCCATAAACTCTTGGCCTGCCACAAGGCATTCGAGCCATTCGAGCCATTCGATGTGCGCTACTTCCAAAGAATTGGGGATACGCATCGTTTGGTGGAGAAGATCTGCAGGAGTCCGAAGTCTATCCTCCAAGAGTGGGAATGTCTGGACACTGCAGGGTTGGGAGACATGATGCCTGGAGAATATGTTGAGGAAGATAAGCAATATTTGCATAATCTCTTGAACTGCATTCTCAAGGGCTCCTGCAGTGATGTGAGTGATGTTGTGCTGCGTCAAATCGAAGATGTGAAATGTGATCATGAGAGAAGATTGCCATTCTTGGTGATCGTCAAAGAAGACTCCCTTCGGCTTGGTCGACAAATTGGGTGCGGAATGGATGCTGTAGTGCATGCAGCTGAATGGAAGGATGGTTGGGCAACAGTGGCAGTTAAGAAACAATATGGGCATTGCTCTGTTGAGGAACTTACATGTCTTGTTGCGAATGCTGCTGTGCAAATGGCCCTGAGGCATGAACACATTGTGGAAGTCCATGCTGTGACCCCGTCTGGGTGGCCAGTGATGGAATTATCGGACTCCAACCTTCACAAGTTGAGGCATGACCACCTCGCTATTGGGTGGAAAGGGAAGCGCAATTTTCTTCTGCAGGCATCGGTTGGTTTGATTTTCCTGCACAGCCTGTCACCTGTTTTGGTGCATTCGGGGGTGAAGCTTGCCAAGTTTCTTGTCTTTGGGACTCAACCTGAAACGTGTAAGGTGAAAGTTTGTGATATCGGGCAGGTGCTCTAATCGAGGGGAGAGGAAGATGTAAAAATCACAGCTCGAGAGGGACAGCGCGGCGGGCACTGAGCATGGCCGTCTTTTCCATGCACACACCCATCCTCTGCCTCGGCATCGCCGTCGCGACGATCTGCCACCAATGTCTGGGGTCCATGCGACGAGGATTGACAAATCTGTTAGAATCATCTCCTCTTAACGGTGACTTCAGCGATTCGTACTCATCGCGTGAGTGCATGGCGCCCCTCATGTCAACCATGGTGGTGGTGGCGGGGTTATGAGGGGGGAGAAACGCGTCTATGGAGAAGGGCATGCTTGCTAATTCATGGGCGGATTCTCAGAATAATTTACCGTAGTAGATTGAGAGTGGTGAGATGGTGTGCTAGCTCTTGTGTTGCTTGCTTGGCACAGACCTTGCTTCTGCGTCCAGAAAGCTTCTCGGTTGCGGTGGGTTTCCAGATATTTTAAATATTAAATATATTTGAATATTTGTGCGCTGTGAATTTGCAGAGCTACTGACAGTTCATTGTCCTTCTGGGGCGCAGTTTGCCGAAATGTCGATATTTTGTTTGGCCCCATAGATGGCGGAATCGAAGAGAGTTTAAATTTTGCGTTACGACTGGAAATGAGATGCGCTGTTGTTCTGGAGCTGAAGATTTCAATAGAGCAGTGCATTCCGTTGATGGCCACAGTAAACTCCAGCTGCTTCGCTTGTCACAACTCCATTACTTGTGGCTGAGCTCACGTCTCAATCGCTGCCTTTCAATTGACGAAATCTATACTTGCAGAGAAGCTTATCCAGGGCCGCGGAACAAAAACTCAATTAAAAACAGAATTGCAACAGAATTAAAGCAATTTCTCCGCAGGCGGCTATGCGAAGAAGCCCCATTGCTGCAAGGTATGGGACTACGACTATTGCTACTGCAAGAAGTACAAACACGGCTGGTACTACTACGGCGGAAAGTGCAACTACAGGGACGACGGCTACAAGTGCCCGCACTGCTGCGAGGAGTGCGACTACCACAAGAAGTACTGCAAGCGGTACAAGCACGACTACTACTACGAGCACGGGCGGTGCCAGAAGAAGGCCCCCAGCTACGGTGGCAGTCCCACTGCGACCGCGAGTGCGGATGCGACGTGCCGCGGGAGGGGCTGTTCGACCAAAACTCACACGTCGACGTCGACCACTCCCTATAGCTCCAGATCCAGCAGCTACTCCCAGTCTGGGAAGTAGGCGTCCTCGGGGCGTCGTGTGTGGGAAGTTTGGCGAAAAGCTGGCTGGGACGACTGCTTGATTTTGCTGCGGGTCGAAGGCACGAGTATTGACAGGTTGCCGTTTGGGGTTCAATGATCAATGTTTGCTGTTCAACACTCAATGTCCACGGCTGAGAATAAGGAGGGCTCTGCTTGCCGCTTGTGGTTGTCTGTGTAGCCCCTGTTTCGACATGGGATGAAGGAGGAGACCCAACAGTGGGATTTCCAAGGGAGATTCTGACTTTAGGGCGTTGCGTCGCATTCAACAGTCCAGGTGCCACCCTGGATTTTGGTGTTGAGGAATTAATAGCGAAGGGCAAAAGCTGGATACGAAAAGGGTTCTGCAGTGGGCCAGTTGCTCGAGCTTCGTCTTGGGGGAAACACTTTGTTCTCGGTATTTTGTGGCATTGCGTAAATGTTCAATGCAGTGTAACTATGTTGCGGTGGCTTAATAGTTGGGCCACCTGTGTACTCAACGTCGCGACAAACTTACGTTTACAAATCGGCCCTTATGCACTTGCCTGGGCATGTTTGGTAGACAGGTTTCATATGTTTAAATTGCACGTACGTACGCATACCGTGTAGTTTCGGCAACCGTGGTCCGAAAATAACAGAGTTTGTACACACATTACGGAGACATGACACACTTTCTACACGGTCTCAACCGTGTACCTCAAGTGTATACCAAATGACACACTTTTCGACCGGTTTCACACGGTTTGTACACGTTTTGTGCACGGTTCGGCACCGTGTCATCCCCTCCTTTTTTCCTAGTATACTATATAGTATACGTATACTGCTGTGGGTAAACTGCACATAGGCAGCTCTCCACGTGGATGCCTACGACCCGCAGTACCGTTCTGTTTGGTCTTCTTGCCGCACGGCCATTCGAGCCGGATCCGGAGATCGCATCTGCCTGTCCGCCACAAAAATCGGTACTCCGGCTGCCACGTCACGTTCCCCCGCCCAGTGCGTTGGCCCCGAGATGAGACGCGATGTCACAACGTCAGTCTCATTGATGTTGATCGTTTACCGCTTTCTTGTGCTCCCTCACGGGATGCTCCAACTACCCATCAAGAACGTGGCTTTCTGACGTCCACCCAGGTGCCGTCTCCACATTGGGCCGTCGGTGACATGATCCCATCGAGGACCCAATGCGTGTGGGAACCCTGGGCGCCTGGGTCCACCGCTGCGAACTCCTGCAGATCCCGGCCAAGTCATCGGTTGTCCGAACCTCAAGATCAGACGCGGTGCCCCAATACCATCCCCATCAACGTTGATTGGTGGCCCAGTTGATGCACACACACCCTGCTCAAATGCTCAAGTAAGCAGTGACGCATCGAGAACTTCAGCTGCCCGCTGCCCACCTCCCTGCGCACTTCCACGGAAACCGGCAGCGCCTGCGGCCGTCAGCAACTTGGCTGGGTGCGCGTGCGCAGCCTCGGCACATCATCAGCGCCAAGCAGAAGGTTCCCAGGTTACTGGGCGGATGGCTTGACCGCCCTCCGAAGTTGACGGTCTTGGGTACCGGTCCGGGTGGGTGCCCCAAACACACGGCACGGCGCACTGACACGTTCCGAGCTTGCGGTTGCCGAATGGCGCTCTGGTCCATAAGGTGCCCTGGCCTGCACAGCAAAAGGGGGCAGGGTTGGCATCTGACGCATGCATTCGTGCGCCACCTTTGTGGGAGGACTTTCCCTTCCTAGGCTTTCCCCCGAACCCCCTGTGGAGGCCCAACCCTCCCTCGTTTCTATGCCGCACCAGTGGTAAAGCCTGCTGCGAGTATCAGGGAAATGTTTCTTTGCAACTTAGACGGATCGAGCGGCGGGGCTCATTGTTTGGCTGCTTCTGGTGGGGTCGATGCCAAGAGGAGCGATTTTTAGTAGACGCTAGGATGAAGCCCCATCAAGCATCAAGAGAGACGTTGAAGGCGGTCTGATCTCTGCCGTGGGAGTAGTGAAAACGGTCGGCCATCGGGAAGCCAACTTCAGAAATTGAGTTGCGCCGTGTTTGCTTCCGACTTGGGTTGTACTGCCCGCGGTCAGCACGAAGCTTTGTACGCTGTGGGGTCCCGTTCACTTCCTCGAGTGATGTCGGAGGCCCCATCATTTCCTTTGCCGGTGGAGTTCGCAATGGATTCCAGAAATGAACACTGCTGAAGACTGAGTATGTGCAGAGGTTCAGACTGTTTGCTGTCTGGTTGTGGAGCAGGTCCCCTTGCATAGTGTGACACGAGATGACGGGTCTCTGACATGGAGCCGGACCGCTGCACCGGGCCGGCACATTGCACGTGAGATAACGGCGACTCCTGTTCCAGGATTGTTTTAACAGGAGGACAATGGCGGTATACGGCGTAGAACACTGCCAGAAGGCCTAGAGACATAAAAACTTTATCCTTGATCCAGAACACACATCTGCAAGTTCTGCTGCATCAATTTCAGCGGGGGAATGGACTGAGGAAAGTGCACTTGAGTTGGGCCCAAGCCAAACTTGAGCGATTGCTGTTGGACCACTGTTGCTTGTCGGCTGGCATCTGAATGCAGTTCGCACCATTTCAGGCCAATGTCAAGGGAGCCAATGCAGAGGTCCAGGGATCCACCTCCGGAGGTGGTAAATGGTGCTGAGGTAAAGGATGCCGTCATAGCCAATTGTGTTGCATTTTGTGTCCAATGCCTTGACGAATTTGTTACAGCATTTCTTTCTGCAGCCCATCTCAGGAATGCCATGCACTCAGAAAATGCTTTGAACTCCCACTCACTAAACTTGGCCACGGCATTGCTCCAAGCGTATTTTGGAGAAGTCAGTTCAGTTTTCCCTTGCTTGTCAACCTGGGACACAGGGGCTGCAATGCATCAACTTGCAAGTGCCTCACCAACTTGCCAATGGATGCTGTGCTGCTCAAAGCAGTTTTGATGTTGACATTGTGCTGTTTGTGTGAACTGCATCGCTAACCAGCCTGTGCAAGAAAGCAAGGAATGACTTCTTATCTGGTTGCTGATGGCCAGCTGTAGGAGCTTGAATGTCCATTGTTGAACATCCTTCAACATGCAGTTTACGCGATGGTGACCCTATAGTGCTTGCTGCAGGCAAGGGTGCCACTCAGCATGGTTGCTGCACATGAGCCACATTACAACCGGAAGATGCTGCTATTCTTCCGGCAGCAGACCGAGAAAGCCCAGAGCCTATGGGATCCAGCAAAAGCAACAAGAGATTGTTCATCGTTGTTCCACTCCGCTCTTGGCAAAGCAACAAGGTTAATTCGGAAGCATGCTCAACCCTTCAGCATTTGTGAGTTCTACAGGGTTGACGATGTCAGGGCTGCAGTGGAGGAAATATGCGAACTCCTCAGAGACATCTTGCAAGAGTGTGAAATGGACTCTGTTATTGAGACAAGAGTGCACGATAATGACTATGCTGCTGACAAACAACACCTGGACATGCTTCTCTCATGCGTGCTTGGAGTTGACTGCAGTGGTGATGTAGATGCCACCTGCTTGCCATCGTGGAATGATATCCAAAATCGGCATACTTCACTTCTAAACAGTCTGAAGATGATCAAAGATGAAGAGCTCACAGTGACAAACAGAAAGATAGGTGGTGGGGGTGAGGGATCTGTTTACGAAGCGGATTGGCAAGATGCCAGGGTTGCTGTCAAGAAGCTGAACACGTCCGGCTGTCAGATGGACCTCGAGGATGTCGCCGAGTTCTACGCGGAAGCCTCTATCCAGTCATCTCTTGATCATCGAAACGTTGTCAAGCTGCATGCCATCACCACGTCTGGCTGTTTCATCATGCCAATCGCAGAGAGTGATCTTCAGAAGCTGTACAAAACTGGAGAGCAAATTGCGTGGCCTGTGACACGTGCTCTCCTTTTGCAAGCAGCTAATGGGCTGCTGCATCTGCACGAACGAAATTTGGTGCATTGCGATGTGAAGAGCTCGAATTTTTTGGTTTTCGGCAAGGAGCTCTCATCCTGCACAGTCAAAATTGCTGATTTTGGATTCACAATCGAAAGTCGGGGCACCCGGAGCAAAACTGTGAGAAAGCAGCGTGGGACGTTGGAATGGATGGCTCCCGAAGTCTACGACGATCAAGTGCTGACCAAGGCGTCGGACGTTTTTAGCTTCGGGGTTGTCATGTACGAATGCGTGACGAGGAAGCACCCCTACGGAGTGGCGGGACTGGACCGGGCACGTGTTGATGCTACTGTCATGGCCAAGAAGTTGTCTGGTAAGGAACCTTGCAGTGTCAAACCTGAAGATTGCCCAAGGGAAATGCTGGCTCTCATGAGATGGTGCTGTGATCGCGACGTCAAGAATAGACCAACGATGGAGCAAGTGTTTGTCCATCTCCAGAACCTGCCAGACGACTTTTCACCCCAGGTGATGCTTGAATGCAAGTTGCACTGGTAGCACTTGCCAGTAATGCGTGTATGGTTAGTGTAGTGAACAACAAAGAATGGGATTCATGCCTGCTAACCTGCACTGCACACAACCCTCTTCGGAAATTTTGTTTAAACTTTGCAATGTGTGCGCAGAGGCCATCAACAAGGTTCTGAGATCCACCCACCTGTTATTTCACCTTCTTGTTTATGTTTAAATGGGAAGAAGGGCAGTCATACCTGATGGCTGTCAAGAACTTGTGGCAGAAATGTGTCCCTGCTCCGGCCTTCCTCCATACGAATTATTGTTGATTAGTACTGTGTTCTCTTGCCGATGTGCAGGTAACCATGTTCAATGAATATTGTGTTAGCTGTCAGCATCAACAGTATCCTGTTTCTTTTCGGACTTTGACTTGAGGACATGACTGTGTTACATGTCACAGTTTCATCAGGCATGGTTGAAAGCCCTTTCGATACCCACAGGTGGCACCCATTTGCATCACAGATGCGGGGCCACCTGGATGTGAGGAGCAAATAGCAGACAGGATTTGCAACTGCAGACTGTTGTTGATACATTCATTCGGCAAGTTCCTAACACTGTAACATTGTGTGGCACGGGCATCAAGTCCTTTCAGAGGAAGTTTGCTGTTGTCTCATGGACATGGTGTTGCTCTGCTGGGGATTTCCAAGATAGGGAGAAGATACCCTGAGCACAGATTCGGCAACGGAGGCCGATGCGGCGGGCGCGCACGATCCATATTCACATACCTTTTTTCCATCAATAACCTCTATTTGAATCCTACAGCTAGCCAAGGAACAGAATACTATGCATCCCTGTCAAATTTGCTAGTCCATCTGCTCCATCTGTCACTGGGACGATCTCTGGAAATGCTGGCTTGCATGAGGCGTATTGACGACGCTGAACATATACTGATGCAGTGACCCATTCAGCAAAGAGTGTGAGCTAGAACGTGGCCCCAAAAGCACACCGCAGAACCCTTGGCACACAGCTGACTTGTTGCTCTAAACTGGTTGGATATGCTGGCTGGTGTGCAGGATGATGCTGAACTGGCAATGGAAGGCCTTCAAAATGTACAATACAACCACAGGATGATGGGGTTTCTGAAATTTCAGCTTGAAAAGGCAAGCTGCGTGAAAAAGCCACAATGCGCAACTCCACAGCAGGTGAAGGAGTTCGACTGTCAACTGGACAGGGGCCATAAACTCTTGGCCTGCCACAAGGAGCCATTCGATGTGCGCTACTTCCAAAGAATTGGGGATACGCATCGTTTGGTGGAGAAGATCTGCAGGAGTCTGAAGTCTATCCTCCAAGAGTGGGAATGTCTGGACACTGCAGGGTTGGAAGACATGGTGCCTGGAGAATATGTTGAGGAAGATAAGCAATATTTGCACAATCTCTTGAACTGCATCCTTAAGGGCTCTTGCAGCGATGTGAGTGATGTTGTGCTGCATCAAATCGAGGATGTCAAATGTGATCATGAGAAAAGATTGCCATTCTTGGTGATCGTCAAAGAAGACTCCCTTCGACTCGGTCGACAAATTGGGTGCGGAATGGATGCTGTAGTGCATGCAGCTGAATGGAAGGATGGTTGCACAACAGTGGCAGTTAAGAAACAATATGGGCACTGCTCTGTTGAGGAACTTAGGTGTCTCGTTGCGAATGCTGCTGTGCAAATGGCCCTGAGGCATGAACACATTGTTAAAGTCCATGCTGTGACCCCGTCTGGCTGGCCAGTGATGGAATTAGCGGATTCCAACCTTCACAAGTTGAGGCACGACCACTTCGCTATGGGGTGGAAAGGGAAGCGCAATCTTCTTCTGCAGGCATCGGTTGGTTTGCTTTTCCTGCACAGCCAGTCACCTGTTTTGGTGCATTCCGGGGTGAAGCCTGCCAACTTCCTTGTCTTTGGGACTCAACCTGAAACATGCAAGGTGAAAGTTGGTGATATCAGGCAGGTGCTCCAATCCAGGGGAGAGGAAGATGTAAAAATTACAGTAGGAAGGGGTAGCGCAACATGGGCAGCCCCCGAGATTTACCTTGGTGATCTTCTAACTGCTGCTTCGGATGTTTTCAGCCTGGGGGTTATCATGTATGAAATTGTGACTGAGCAGGAGCCCTATGGAACAAGGTTTGGGGCTGCTGCCGATGCAGTTGCAATGAAGAAAAAGCTAGTGGGGGATGAGCCTTGCAAAGTTGACGGGAAGGATTGCCCGCCAGCCCTGCAGATTCTCATGAAGAGTTGCTGTGACCCTGAACCAAGAAACAGGCCAACGATGGAAACTGTGAAAATCCAATTGGAGCAGCTTTCTCCAGAATGGGCACCCGAGGTGAGTAGCTTGAAACCCGGTGGGTATGCAGCAGTGGCCGTGCACTGACTCTCTTTCACTCTGCCAGCAGGCATCACCACCAGCGACCTCGCGTCTAGCCCGCTGCAACAGTCAATTTTGCACCATTTTGACACTTCAGTCAAGCATTACAGCAATTGTAAATGACAAAATGGTTTGCTGTAGGATGCATCACGAACGTGCACAGAGAAAAGGAAGAGCTCACCAAGGGGATTGGCAAACATTATGCCCCATCAAGCTGCAAACGGAGTTATGGTGAGTACTTTGCTGTGATGTGGGCCCTGCAACCCTGGCAAAGAATCATGAACTGGCTGCCACCTGCCACAACACCAGTGGGAAGCCAGCCTGGTCCCTTCCTTTTCCTGTGCCTCTGCAGAGCTCGCGGCAGCTGTTGTGCAAATCAATGAAATATGGACACATCTCTGCAGGATGATGGTCGCCAGTCCCCAGAATCAATCAAGAAGAACAGGAAAGGAGTTGTCAAGGTATGATGCCGCTGGAACAGCTTCAAGTTGCAAACGTGCCTGTGGTTCATTCTGTCCTTCATTTCTGCGAGCAAGCCCAGGGAGCTGTGCTGCAAACAAAGTGTAGCAAGACAGGCTTGTACTGCAAGGTTGCAGTTGGGGACCTGGGGTTTGAGCGAAGCGAGTGACGGCCACCAACTGCAAAAGTGAGGCCCTGCCTTGGAGGTGTCCCTGCCGACGTGCAGGTAGTGCAGAATCAGGACTGTCAAACGCAAATGGCGCTGCTGCTCCAGGGAGCACGCAGCATAATGTCATGCCAGGCCCCAGAGCTCATCAATCAGTCCCTTTGATTACATTTATTGTTAAAAAACAAAACACAGCCCTTGCACCTGCTAGGTGATGACAGGGCGTAAATCCATAGGTTGTTTTTTTTGGAATCGTTTGTTCGTGGCCGCATGTTTTCTGAAAACTGAAATCCCACGAGAAAGGGAAAAGAATGGGTTAAAGAATGGGTTCACACTGACTACTGTAGAAGTCGCAAATTTCTGCGAATGCGTTGCAACACTGTTATCCAAATGGCACTGGAGAATGTATTGTGATGCACGAAGGCGAGCATGCAGATGCAGTCCGCGTTTTAGTGTGTATTGTTGCCCTTGTCACCAGGTCGACATGCTACCATTCTGCACGTTAGGGAAGGCGCTATGTCGAGTTTGATACGCTTAGCGCCAATTTGACGCTAGCGGGCGAGGAGTCCAGACCTGTGACGCTAAGAGATTATGTAATTGCCACAAAAACGACATAAGTTATGGCCATGCCCCAAACGCCGCTGATTAGTGACGGGCAACTTGGGAATTACTTAAAAATCTCCCTGAAGCGTGCAGTCTCCAAGGAAGGCTTCATATTGTCTCAATTGAGAGCCTCCAAGGCTGGCCCCGTCGCATGGAGCGGCCTTTAGAATCCCATTTTGCAGTCTTCTACAATCACTGAAAATCTGGCTGTTTTCCTCCTGAAAAAGGTCTTGAAAGTGATGTCAGGCTATTGGGTAATGTTGCTGAGTCATCCCGACATAAACATAAAGATTGACACTAAGAGGGGGATCTGATCCTAGCGGCAATTGAAGCTAAGCGTACCAAAATCGACGTAGCGTCTTCCCTTATGTATTGTAGTGCCATTTGAGCAGTACACGGTGTCTTTGCGCCTTCTACTCTTGAATTGATGACTTTTCCCATGTTGGTCGTTTTGCTTGGCTGCACTGCAGAAAGGCCACCGCAACTGCTGGTTACAGTGTCACTTCAATTTGGCGTCACTGCTTTGGTTGATGGGCTTGCTGTGGGAGGCGATTTACAATGTGGTATGGCTAGTTACGCTGTTTTCTATCTTCATTGGTTTTGAGCAGCAATTGTCCATTGGCTTTTCGACTTCTAATCTTTTGCTGCAGCTCTTGTGGATGCGGGGAGCAATATACTCCCTAAGTCTCGCGCATATCTGTTTGTGTCCCCCGCCTCCCTCTCTCTTTCCTTTTACAGGACATCTTGTCTTTGATGCATATCCATGCTGCACTAGTAACACTCTGTCAGGAATCGAATTATTCTGCTTTGGTTCCATTCAGTGCCTCATTTGCTTCATGCTGGGAAAGATTTGTGTTTAGTGCAACAGTGGAGGACTTGCCACAGTGAACAATTACATTGTTGCTCAGCTGTGTCGGTTTTCTTGACATGTTATGTGGATGTGCATGCACTCAGGCGGTCTATTTGTTCAGGAAATCGAGCTGCTTGTGTTCCGATTTCTGCTCCCAACCTGTCGACGGACCACGAAACGTAATGTCCCCTTCTTGCGGTCTCTCCTACGAATATCCTGAGCTACTAGAAGATCCCAATGTTCCTGAAGATCCTGCAGGATCATGTCGGAATTTGGTCATGGTGAGGTCTGAACCTCGGCTGTGATGATTGCATCTAATCTTTACTACCTTTGTCGCATTTCATTTGGATGAATTGTATGCCGCAATGCAGAGGCAGATAGTCGGCACATGGGTGTGACGAACACTGGGACAGGCAATGGGCATACTGTCCTTGTGATGTTTAATGGCGACATAGCCCTTGGTGGCTGACATGCAACTAATAGCATTTCATCATCGCCCCATTTTCTATCACCTGGGGCACCGTGTGCACAGCCCATTTCCAGAAAGCAATGATTGCTGCTTGGCGAGATGCCCAGTTCCAAGAGTCGCCGTAAGGCAAGTGGGGCAAGTTCATCGTGGCTCCTTAGTTACCATATGGCACCACAATGCGCATCAATGGGTAGTTGATGTTTTTTTCACATGGTAAGTGATCACTTACATCATGATGTGCCTGCAGTGTTTGTGATACGTGTGTGAGTGACTAAAACAAATGAGATTATAAAAGTTTGGCATTAAATATGATGCAGGTGGACATGGTGAACATGGTGTCCAATCTAGTGAAAGGGATATGGATATGCGATAAGTACAAATTGAGAATGCTTGTGGTTAATGTTGTTTCATTGGTACACTCATCCTGTAATCCATTCGGTTATGGCTTTGCTTCCAGTGCCTGGGAGGGACCATGTACTGGGAGCTTGGTTATTGCCTCACTAACCATAATTGTTTCCGAAACTGCACTGCCAGCATGCTGAGTGTTGGCTTTGATGCGAGCTTGCCATTGGCGCTTATGGCACCATTTTGGCGTTTCTGTTTTATGCACACAAATGTGCAGAGACAGAAATGGCCAGTTTTACAGCGATGTTTAAGTATTTTTGCGGCGCGCTGAGACATTCAGGCCACATGATCAAATCACAAACGTTGAGCAGTCCTCCGCCCCTTCGAGCACCCGCAACACAGTTTCCACACTGCCATCAGCATGGGCAACAACGTCATCAAACAAAAGGGCAGTTTCTGCGCACTCCAACGCGTCTGGTTGCCACTCCCCGGATTCCTTGAGTCTATACGTGCTGTCTTTACGTACACAGTTTTTATGTACTTCAGGAAGTATTTTCTTGCCCGTTTATGGGTAAATACATGTGCACTGTTTTTACACGTATAAACGCAACTGCACGCTATGTTTGTGCCCTCAATAGCAAGCCTTCTTTGATGTATGTTGTTCAGTGACATCCGTCGTTGTGAGCACGTGAACTGGTTTCTGATTGGGGATCTTTCTTTTGCACCTGTTGTGTATCATTCTATGGTCACAAAGAAGATCTGAGCGGAATGTCAGCTTTACAGTCCTGGCGAACAAATGACCTACATGCAGAGGCCTTTGCTGTCAGCAAAATTCCTGCCCGTTGGCAAATGCCATCTGCAACGCAAATGTGGTGCAAAGGAAATCCACTCATGGAACTAAAATTAGAATTCCCTCTTGCAGCTCCAACAGCCTAATGCGCGCTGTGCAGCGGAAGCTGCTGTACTGATAATGCATATTGGAACCCGCCATGGCTATTTGCAAATAATTCTCTGTGAAATAAAGATGCAGACTGAAAGGTGGGCTGTTCTCTATCTTTGCTAAGGCAATTGGGACTTCTGTGACAGTGCGAAATGATGCAGAAACCGCCATGTGCCTGGAAAACACATGAAACGTTTAGTGAAGCAAATGTTACACTCGTGTGGAGGAGGATGACCTCATGGGGCCCATGCGCAATATTCTATGAATACAGCAACCTACTTGAAGAGCATGACCGTTCTAGAGTCTAGTTCCAATGGATGGCAATGTGCAATTGAAATAGCACATCCCACGTGCCATTTGATTGCTGGGTTGCATTTCAATGACCAACTTCTCCCACCCTGAGTGACAATCGCTCTCTAGCACCTGTGGTCCCTGCAAAGCGCCAATTAGCGAAAATCAAAGATAACATTAATGTACAAGGCGAGGAATTCTAGACATGGTCATGATAGGTTTACCTTCAGTCTGCAAGTCCCTAATTCTGTGCGGTTTGCGTATATTCCGGGGTGCAGTGAGCTGTCCACGTGTGGGGGGCCAACCTGCTATCAGAGTTGTGACCAGGATAGTTGGGATGCAAATTGTAGTTTGTGTCTCTGTGATTATGGTCTTGAGGTGGAGGGCAGCGAGAGCAAACACCATCGAGTTGATGAGGTCCAAAGAGCAGCATTACTCTGGGAACTACCCCCGGGAGACCGCTGTCGTGGCCCCTTCGACGACCCACCCCCTGCCCCATCAATGCCGACTGCTAGCGGGACACACATGATTGATATCCAGGTGCGGGATGTGCCCATACCTAGAGACGTACAGGACATTGAGACTCACCAAAAGCCTCTCATGCAAGGTCCTGGAACAATTAGTGCAGGTGGTGCATCACAGCCTTCTGCTTGGAAGTGAGGGTCCCATAAAACTCTTGCTGGAGACTTGGAAAAGCGAGAATCTGTTCCATTTGATGTGGGCGATCCAGATCCACCGTCGGATTTCCACCGGCGAATGTGGAGAGTGCCGAGCCAGCGGGGAACTCGAATCGAGCCCAATCCCAGCCTGCTTCAAATCGCCAAGCATAGATATCCACTGTCTTCCATCAGACTCTAGTGTTCACTGCTGTTCAAGCACCGTATTGGATGAAAATGCGGTAACTGCACTCACGCTGCTTCCTTGCGCCACATTGCATGCATATGTTTGTTATTGTAGTTTTGCTGTCGAGACATAATGATTCACACATTTCAGCTTTTGTAGATTTCATGGACAGCATCTAGCTGCACATAAACTTATGCCGCAAATTTGCTGCATTGTGCAAATTTGCCCTGCGCAGATTTCCGCCCCCAAAGCCTTGCATCCCGTCTCCCAGTAATGATATCCACCTTATCCACGTTATAACTTACGGCATCGTCTGCCAATTCCTAGGTGCGTCGAAGGCATACTATGCCAGGCTTAGGTGGCATGACAAGAGTACCGCAACTGGCTAAATAAGTGGCGCATAGGGTGCTGACTGGCTGCAGTGGTGGTACCGATTCTGGATGCTTAAGGGTTAACTCAAGCTTGCTTGGCCCGTCTCCAGAGAGGTGATCCCAGCCGAATCTGGTGATAAATTTTAATTCGGCCAACAGACAAGGCTGCACGGTGCTCTCTATCGTTGTCTAGGCAGTTTTGCTTTTGTGGCACCCACTCTTGTGATTTGGTGCAATAGTGGCTTGCGAATGCGCCGGCCAGCTGTGCATGCGGTAAGGGCATGGAACCTTAAGGGCCTTTAGTTATGAGCAGATGTTCGCTGTCAATGGCAGCTGCTCTGAACGATCTGTCAAGCCATTGTGGCACTTGCTGCTGAGCAAACAGTACCGCACTTGGAGTCACCAATGTGCACACCTTGGCTGCATGCTGCCCAAGCTCTCGTCGAAGAGCATTGAGATTCTCTAATAATTTCAAGGGCAAAGGGATTATTTCATATAAAACACTGGGGAACGAAGTTGTCCACAGTGGACTCATTATGGAATTCGCAGCATTGGTGCATTGCAATAGTTTCTGAATCTACAGTTCTGTTGGTACCAGCTGTTGCAAAAATACGCCAATGCAATAACAACAGCTTTAACAACAACGAGAACAGCAGCTCTGCAAAGCATCATAAGAATACATGAATTAGGACACAACACAGTGGGCATGTAGGACGTTGCATATGATCTAAAACTGAGCTGCAAAGCCAACCTAACTGAACAGCCGCCTCTGTCATACCTGTCAGTGCTTCACTGCCGAAATTCCCAATCTCCAGCAGGCTTGGTATATACGCAGCAAAAACTGATTATATTTACGTTTTACGAGCAAAACGATTTTTACGCTTTACCCGTAATCAGGCGTAGAAATGCGCAAATGCAGACGCAAATACACTCCATGTATATAAAGACAATACACACAGACTTGAGGAGTCCAGGGAGTGGCAGCCAGATGCATTGACTTGGGCTGAAACGAGCTTGTCTTCGATGACGTCGCTGTCCTCGCTGAGGGCGAGATGGATGCTTATGTTGTGGACGGTTGAGGGGGCGGAGGGCTGATCATTGTGCACGACTTCATCATGTAGCCTGAGTGTCCCAGCGAGCCGTAAGAGTGGGCTCTTCTCTGTGCTTAAACTTTTATGCATGAAAACGTAAAAACCAAGCCTGATCTCCAGCTCGCAGTATACAGTCAAAGTTTCAACTGTGTAGATTGTGTGCTTGAAGATTCCGTGGTTTTGATGCTTATACAGGCGGACTGCCAGTACGGGAAGATGCTGACATTCCTGGAACGGCAACTCTTGAAGGCTGGGCAGCTGCAGCTGCCAAGCAATGCATCATCGGAAGATCTGGAAGCATTTGAGGCCGAAATACGCAGGGGGCGATGTCTCTTCGCCCAGTGCAAGGGGCCCTTTGACATCTGCCAGTACTACAGCATTGAACACTTCCGGCAGGGCGTGGAGGATATATGTGGAAAGCTTGCAGAAAGCACCCACGAATGGGGGATGCATAACGCCGTGGTAATCGAGCACAGGATTCCTCCAGATGATGTGGAAGCGGATCGGCTGGCTTTGCACAATTATCTTGTCGATATCCATAGTCGACCTGCCGCCTTCGTGAACTGCCAGTTGCTTCAGCCCATCTGGGGCTCGAAACGCATTGAGGTGCTTGACGAGGATGAGCTGTTGTTGGGACGCAAACTGGGAGAAAGTAGCTGGACCGTTGCTTGCGAAGCCGAATGGCCCAAAAGATCCTGTGTTGTCGCTGTCAAGAAGCCGGCCCGTGATGCGCCCCTTCAGGTGACTGCAGACATGATCAAAGAGGCAATTCTACAGGCCTCTACGGCGTCCAAACATGTCACCCCGATCCTTGGCCAGACACCATCTGGGTGGGTGGTTACGAAACTGGCACAGGGGGACTTGTCAACGGTCACTCAACAAGGTGCTGCAATGGATTGGAGCACAAAGCTGTTCCTGATCCGACAGGCAGCAAAGGGGCTGAGATCCTTGCACACTCACATGCCCCCTGTAGTCCATGCAGGCTTGAGGACATCGAGCTTTCTTTTGTTTGGGTCACTGCCTAACCTGGAAGTGAAGATCAGCAATTTTAGGCAAGCCTTCACAGTTGACAGGGACCCAGATATGGACATTCCCAGAGGGGGAGGTGCGCCGGCCTTCGTCGCACCAGAGCACTACCACGAGAAGCCTCTGACGCTGGCATCCGATATTTTCAGCCTCGGAGTCGTTCTGTACGAGGTCGTGTCTGGAGCACAGGCGTACAAGACGCATGGTCCCCAGGAGCATGCGCATCTCGTTTTCATGCACAAGAAGCTGTGCGGGGAGGAGCCTTGTGAAGTGCAGGATCGGGATTGCCCATCGGAGATGCTGCAGCTCATGAGGCGCTGCTGTGCACTCGATCCTCAGGAAAGACCTTCGATACAGGAAGTCTGCCGGCGCCTGGATGAAGAGGTACCCATGGATTGGCAACCCCAGGGCCACGCTGTTCCGATTGGTTAACAAGTGCAGAGGGTTTCTACAGTGGCTTTTGGACAAGTGTGCTATTTGCCAATTTCGGAGGTGGCTGGCTTGAGTGGAATTACGCTGCGGACTCGGCGGAACCTGAACATGCACAGTTTGAATGTTGGATATATGCAGATATGTATGCGGGGTCCACAATTGCCATTCTTGTGGCACAAAGTCTTGTGGCACACTTGGACCTCCCAGTGTGCCGTTTCCCGGTCACATGTTGCATCAAAGGAAAGTTTGAAAGAAAGAAATGCTGCCAGCAACGCTGTGGTGCTGCTTTACAAGACGCCTTGTAGGATCTCGCGGTTCTGGTGTTGATTAAATAGGACGGCCACAGGCAGGCGTGTGAAGTCTGTTGTTCGGTTGGCTGCACTGAGCAGTTGAATGTGCGGCGCATTCACTAGCAGAAAAAGGACCAAATAACACTTTTGCGAACACACATAAAACACATTTCATCAAAGTTCTGCACACTAAGAGCACAAAAATAACACAAACCCGCAAACTTTGTACACGTTTGAACACGTGTTATTTGGCCCTTTTTTTCTAGTGATTGCTTGAATTTTGCGGTGCCCCAAGTGGAGGCACGTGGACTGCGAGCTAAACTGCTGTGCTTGAATTCCCTTTGCAAGTGTTGAAGGGCACCATTTGTGATCGTCATGATGACCTTTAGATCACTGCCCGAACGCAAATGATTGAAACTTTACACACAATCGCTGACACACTCGAATCACCAAGGCACACACAAAAGAAACACCTCAACTGATTCTCAACAAACACTTTTTACAAAAGAGTTTGTTCGTCCGCCAATCACCACTAAAATGCGTTTCAAATCACCTTGTACTTTGACAACCGCACAGCCGTAAATCCGCCCAGTACGATCTGCACTTCAACCCACTCTGCAATCCACTCAGAATACCCAGAACGTCCAGCCAACCTCCCAGCTATTGATCCAGCGTCTTAACGATTCAATCGCTCCACTATGCTCACCGCCCTTGCCCACTCAGAGGATTGGGAGGGCTGCCGCTCGACTGAATGCCCAACTGGGTGGAGCGCCCAGTTTTATAGCCCATCCGCTTCCAAACACCCAAGTGAGAGTATATTCTCTCATACTATCATTTCCCCTTGCACTTCACAGCCTAACACGCCTTTTCCTCTTGACCTCTATCACACCCGCTGGAATTTCTAACCCAAATTCCATCACACCCACTTTTCCAGAATCCTATGCACAGCACTAGCCACCAACGTACTTTACACCCTATTCCTCTTTTCACACTTCTTTCACGGCGCCCATAGCACCCCACGGCCTTCACACCCGTTGCCAAGGGTGGCAGTACAGTGACAAGCCCTCATCACAATCCATCACACCTTTTTGTATGATGTAACCCTATCAACCCTCATTCGCTGGTTCCGCCATCACGATGGCGCAACACCAGTGCTGCCGGCCCCACGGCACAGCAGAGTGACGCCATCATAGCAAAATGACACCTGACACACTTCATCACACTACCGCATCGCACACCGCAGCTCGCCGACGGGACTCACACTTGCGGTTCGCCCCCGCGGTATGCTCCAGCGGTTTGCCCCCGCGGCTCCATGCTGCCAACCCATCAAAGAGCTGTCAAAGGGGGAGCATAACGTAATGCTCAAGCGCGTGCCAAGCCAGCACCTCCGGGTGCCGGCACAGGCTGCGATGGCCCTGGGCGCTGTCCTTAGTAATGCACCAGAAACCGACGCCATCATAGAGTCGATCCTGTGTCGCCTTGGGGCAAGCGGCCAGAGCCCTCATGATGGGACATCAGATAAAGTTTAACACAAGATAAAGTGAGGCCCTGATACTGTACTGTACAGTACTGTGCGCACATGTTCGCACAGGGCGCCTGCCTTCCATGCCTGCAAGCGGGCGAGGAATAGCTTGCATATATCCACAAGCGATTTTCTACCCGTCACTCCCTCGTTTTATCCGCTCGCCACCTGTCTGCAAGGGCTGCTAGCAACAGTCGCCTCAGTGCGTGAGGCTGCCTATCTGTGGCGGCCTTACACACGTGCCCCACGATATTCCATATCAGCACTCTGAACCTGTTCTTGTAAAGCAAAGCTTCGGATGAAGCGTCAGGTCTACTGCCTTGATGGATGTTAATCTGCAACATGCAGAAAAATTGCATTGCATTTTCAGACTACGCTCCCAACACAACTTGATGCCACAACGGTGCCCTACCATAGCCCCAGCGGAAGACTCGGCACGGTGTGTGTGCTCCCTCGCAACTGGGAACACATAGACAGTAGGGAACACACTGGTCGCTTACCGTGGAGGGGCTATTCCACAGCGAACAAGGAACCGCCAAATGCATCACCACCAACTCTGTTGCCAGGTTGCTGGAGGCCACAAGAATGTGGGAAGCTGGTCACTCTGTTGCCTGGATATTTCAGAAATGAAGGGAAATTCAAAGAAACACTCAGGAAATACCATACGGGACCTGCGATGTGCAACAGGGGCCTCACCCTTCCCCTCCCGTTCAAATACGGTGGCCAGCTGCGTTCCCACTGAGGTTTTCGTCAACAAGTCAACGCAAGGCGATAAGGTCGCTCAAGTGAAGCCGCTGCCGACTGGTGCTCCAACATGTTGTGGGCGACTTCGGCCAACCACAAATCCACCCCCTTGGATTTGATTTTCCATCGATTTCAAATTGTTGCATCTACCTTGCTTTACCATTGCTGATCCGGTTGGGTGCCGGCCTCCACGCGCGTTGGTTAACCCCATGCTCTTCCCAGACGCTTGCTACGGCCTGTTGGCATCCCCGCATAGGTGAGAGCCCTCACTGTGGCGGGGCGCCGCATCCACGATAACATCCGGGCTACTGGCATCCCCATAGACGTCGTGGAAAGGCCGATGCTCTCCAGCTGATCGCCGATGCACCGGGCATGGCTGGTTCAAGGCCCCCGCTCTGTCTTTTGAAGGCAATAGGACGCAATGCACCTAGCCGGGCATGTACCGACATTTGGGTTCGTGTATTTTAAAGAACATGGCTGTGGTGAAGAAGGGTTACCTTGTCAAATTCCATTGGTGACATGTAATACTAATTCTTGCATGGAAGATGCCGGAATAGGAGGCGGGACAGAAGACCGCAGAACAGCATACTTCCAACCTTAGCTGCTGCCGGAGCTCCGCTGCGACCGCAAGCGCGGATGCCAAGTGCCCCAGCAGGGGATGTTCTAACAACACACACACGTCGACGTAGACCACACCCTCTGGCTGTCCATCCAGTATCTAACCATGGTCTGGGAAGCATGCGGCCGCGGGACGTCATGTGGTACGGGTGCAAAACTCTGGCTTGGACGCCGGCCTGCTTGCACTACAGGTCTATCAAACGAATAAGGAGAGTTTGCCGTTCAATGCTGGACACTGGAATTCAATGTTCAATACTCAATATTCACCTTTGGGAATGAGGAGGGGTCTTGCGCCTGTACACCGCCGCGGTTTTCCTGTTGTGGTTCCCGTGTTCACATGAGATGAAAAAGGAGAACCAACAGAGGGATTTCGTGTGGAGAGACTTTGACATTATTGTATTGCGTCCCATTCAACACACTGCAGTTTCCACCCTGGATTTCGATGCCGAAATTGTCTGTGTGCTTTAGTTCGAAGTGTTGATAAATTCGCAATGCAATAGAACAAGAGCTGGCGGCGAAATGGAGTTTGAATACGGAGAGAATCTGGACTTTGGAACAGGAGGAACACGTGGTGGGGGCTGCTCGGCCAGACCTTGAGAAACCTCGACTTTTTGGCCTGAATCACAAGGGTTCAAAATACTGCCATGTGGCCGGTACTTATCAATTGCCCTGAAAATTTGGCAGTACATAGTAATTGTGTAGACAGCACTTTGGTCCACTTTTGAAGGAAAATCAACAAGCTTGTGATACAAATATAGCTCTTAAAAACAAACTGTTACATCTATTTCCGGACGGAGGTAGTAGTAAGTAATGTTAAATCGCGTCACGGCCACTGGGTGAGAAAGCGCCCGACAAGCTGTGAGGCTCTAAGCCCCCTAGGGTGCATATCTGCCGGCATTTCTGTGTCCCCGATCCGGAGCTGCTGTCCTCATAAGGCCATCAAAACCATAGTGGCGATCAAGGATCGAGCGGTACAGAACCCGGTTTAGTGGTCTTCCCCCTTTTGGCAGGAACGGGCTTTGGGGCTGCTGGGTGGGCTTGGGGCAGCCTAGTGACCTGTGGGCTCTGCTGGGCTTTGGGTGGTCGGCTGTGCTTCGGGTTGCTGGGCG